TTTGGAAGTGATACATATTATGAGAGTACAACTAGCCATACGTATAATTTTAGGTTGTCTATTTTAAGTAGTCTGCCCGAAGATTCTACACTAGCTGCCATACCTGAAATCTCTTAGAAGATTCTCTATTTAAACTCTCTGGCCCTATCCCACTTACTGCAAGTATTACTCTTAAAGTTAACCCAAACCCTGTGCTACTCCTCATTGGGAGGTACCCAAGCTGACATTAGTTACAACTTTACTATTATGAGCTCAGGTCTTACCCAGATAAGTCCTACTTCAATGCCCTCTAACAGATAGGTGTCATAATACCCAACTATGCTATGCTATATCCCTATTCTAGCTTGCATATACCCTTATTCGATGTTCGTACAAATCTGGTTCTAGCTATGGCCCTCCACCAGTTTAGACTTCTGTGTCCTTCTAAATGTTTCATGAAGAAGATCCTCCCAATCTAGTTAGCTACCAAGCCAAGTTGGTGTTGCTGTAATACCCAATGTCACGGACTTACTCGCACCTACTCGATCTACATCTTCGTACTCAGAAATCTTTGTCAGATCAAGTGTTAACTGGCGTGACTATTGAAATCTGTACTACTTCATCTAACTCGGGATTTCTACCATACAGGTCCTCTGCCTGTAGATCCTATCTCGATTTATTTGTGTAATGCAACTCAAATATTCTGTTATACTTCTAATATCTGGACAATATTGGTGCAATGTGATTTACAGGGTTACAACCCCAGAAATGGACAGAGTTTACCATAAGTTGGATACAAGGTTTGAGTAATTATTCAAAGTATCGACAGAAGGATTTGAACTCCAAACCTATTGTATGGCAGTCTGACAACCTATTCACTACACTAGATCGCCAGACCTTGACTGCAAGTTTAATCTAGTTTAAACTTGGTATTTAGTTGTTTCTTTGAGCTTTTTTTACTTCTTTCATGTAAAAATATACTTTTAAATATTTGCGTAGTTTCAAAGTTTGACTCGCTATAGTTGACTAGCATAGTTGCTCCAGTATAGCTATATTGAACATTGTTCTAGGCCTATTCCACACGCTGTTTTTCTATGAGACTGTTTGACTAAGAAATATTTAAAGCTTTTGTTGTTTTCTGAAAAAAGTTGTTTACTCCGTATATTGTTTTGAAGATCAGCAGAAAGAGTTTTTAAATTATGCCAAAATTTGTATATTTTAATAGAAAAGGATCTAGTAAATAGTAATATATTAGTATAGTTTAGAAGAATTATTAAACTTTGTTAATATTTTCTATAAGGAAATTAATTTGCTCTAATCAAGAAAGTTGTAAGGAGTTTTTAGAAAGACAACTTTTGCTAATTAGATAATTATTAAGTAGAATTAGAAATATATATTCCTCTTTTAAGATTTTAATATATTCTTTAAAGTCTTCTAAGTTTTTAGGATAAAAAGAGAATATTTTCTTTAATCATAAAGTAAATAGTTGTGAAATTAGAGGTAGTAATGCTTTGAATAAAGAAAGATCAAAGTATTCTAAAAGAATAGTTTTAAAGAGGTAGTAGGCTTTAAGATACTATTTATAGTTTTTGAGGTTTCTTAGATCAGTATGAGTAATAATAGAAAAAAACTATGAGTATCTTTATTTAATTAATTTGAATATGAAGATAAAGAGATTCTTTCATTTGCAATATATTCTTTATTTTATTTTATTTTTTTTTTATTGTTTAAGGCGGCTTATATTGCTAATGGGATTTTATTAGTATTTGTATACAGAATTATACATTGATAATCCCTACTGTTTGTAATTACATGAAGAGTATACAACAAGCCACATATACAACTTTATCATTGTCTAATTTAAGTAGTCCGCTGCACAGGCAATTAGACTACCCAATTGGTTCTACACTATGCTGTCATACCTGTAACTCGCCTGTGAGTTACCTATTTAAATACTCTGTTCATTAACCTATACAGATCCAAATCTAACGTCACTGCAACACCTAATTGCTTAAGCCAGCTAGCTCGTTACAGATCCATTTATTCAAATCAGCTTAGGTCCTCTCGAGATACACTATACCAGACGCATTGCTAGTATTGCAGAGCCAGTTAACCTCAAAGCAAACCTACTAGAGCGGCCCGTACCCATTTTATGGGATCACCTAGATTAGACCCTTATAAATGTTCGTACAACCCCAGTTCCTACTGTGGCTCTCCACTAGTTTTCTGTATTCTATTTTCTTAGATGTTTCACAAGGCAGATCTTCCCAATTTAGTTAGCTGCCAAGCAGGTTGGTGTTACTGATCCTCTCTGTGAAATGGATTTATGCGCACCTGACTCGATCTGCATCTTTTGATCATAGTTTCCTTTCTAGATCAAGCATTGACTGGTGTGACTATTGAAAGCTATACTACTTCAGCAATATATTCTTTATATAATTTATTAAATATATATATATTATATAAACTTGCTATAATAGCTTTGATTTTGCAAAGATTAGTAATTAGAAGAATATATAGTAGGTAAGTAAGAATAGCTTCTGGTATTTCACTTAGAGTAGGAGATAGAAAAATTAATTATTTACTTTTTGCTATATTAATTATTTTTTTTAGTAAATCAAAATCTAATTTGATTAGTTTTTTGCAAATTCTGTTAGGTAAAGAGTATAGCAAGTAATTTTATATATATTTAAATTAGTAAATTCTTTATTAATCTAATAATCAATTAATAATTTTTTTTAGTATCTTAAAGACTTGATTTCTATTGTTTTTATTGATAATTATTATATTATAAAATATTTTGTATTTTTTTTTTTTTTATTTTATTGTTTAAGATGGCTTACATTGCCGATGGGATTTTATTAGTATTTGCATACGGAATTATATATTGATAACCCCTACTGTTTATAATTATATGAAAAGTGTACAACAAGTTATACGTATAACTTTAGTTATTGTCTAATTTAAATAGTCCGCTGCACAGGCGATTAAACCACTCGATTAGTTCTACACTATGCTGCTATACCTGTAACCTACCTGTGATTTATCTATTTAAATACTCTGTTCATTAACCCATACAGATCCAAACCTAACATCACCACAACACCTAACCACTTAAGCTAGCTAACTCGTTACAGATCCATTTACCCAAATCAGCTTAGGTTCTCTCAGGATACACTATACCAGATGTATTACTAGTATTGCAGAGCCAGTTAACCTCGAAGCAAACTCACTAGAGCGGCCCATACCCATTTTATGGGATCACCTAGATTAGACCCTTGTAGATGTTTGTACAACCCAGTTCCTACCATAGCTTTCCACCAGTTTTCTGTATTCTATTTTCTTAGATATTTCACGAGGCAGATCCTTCCAATCTAGTTAGCCGCCAAGCCAGGTTGGTATTACCGATCCTTCCTATAGAATGGATTTATGCGCACCCAACTCGATCTGCATCTTTTGATCATAGTTTCCTTTCTGGATTAAGTGTTGACTGGTGTGACTGTCGAAAGCTGTACTACTTCACCTACTCGGGATTTCTACCATGCAGGTCCTCTGCTTGTAGATCCTATCAAGATTTATTTGTGTAATGTTACGTCTCACCAAATACTCTGTCGCACTTCTAATATTTGGATGATATTGGTGCAATGTGATTTACAGAGTTACAACTCCAGAAACGGACAGGGTTTACCATAAGTTGGATACAAAGGTCCGAGTAATTATTCAAATTCGTCAACAGTAGGATTTGAACTCCAGACCTCTTGCATAGCAGTCTGGCAACCTAACCACTACATTAAGATCACCAGACCTTATATTTTGTATTTTTATATTGCTATGTTGAGTAGATGTTAAAATTCTTTTTAATAAATTAGTCTTGAATTATTATTTTAAGTAAAGGTTCTAAAGAAGGAATAATCTAAAAAATAAAGCTTTGCACTAATTTCTAGTAGAATATGTTTTTATATAGGTTTAGTTTGAAATTTATATTTGATAAATTTTTAAAATTTAATTAGAAAAGAAAAAACTATAATAATTTTATTTTAAGTTTATAATTTCTTGTTAAATTGTGAAGTTTTTAATAGAGATAGAGCTTATCAAGTTGATTTTACTTATGTTTTAATGAGTCAAGTTAGGTCTAAATGCTGATTTTGTTTGTGTTATTAAATTTTGCAACTGCTTAACTATATGTTTTAGTATATATATTAATTTCTACAAGATCTGCAATTGATATAACATCTATATTCTGATTAATATCTAGTTCTTTATTATTATTTGTATTTTGTTCAGAGCATGAGAATATTTCTATTATTTGTTCAAGGTCCTGTATCTAGATACTATCTATTTTGGTTTGTATTATGTTTGATAATATCATATTAGTATTTGTCAGAGATAAACTAGATTTGCTATTTTTTGTTGTTTTTTCTGTTATAATTGTTATATCTTTGAAGATATCTTTGAAGATGTTTTGTGTTTGATATAGAAAATATCTACTAGTTTTCTCTTTCTTGAGTTGTTAACTCTCTTTTTGTTCATTATCCAGGTCAGAATTCTGTAGTATAGAGTGAGTAGTTAGACTTGACATATTCATATCATCTTTGTGATATATTGCTAACATTATTGGTATTAGCAAATACTTGTTGGTAGTTGCAGTTATTATAGAAGTGGACTTTCTATTTCTTTTGTTTATTGTGTTTTTTATATGTAGTTATACTATTTACTATATAGTTTACTTAATTAATTAATTAATTATTTTAATAGAAGGTTGCGAGTATTTATCGGTATTTCTATTTTGTTTACTTAGTAAATTAGGATCTACAGGAAAGAGTTTAGTTTTTAATGATACATAATTATGAAATCATTTATCTCTTAAATAGATTTACAATTAATTATAATTAACAGTAATCAAAAAATTATGTAACTTTAAAAATTCTGATTTATCAAAAATTCTATTTTATTCATATATATCGATATGAACTTTTCTTTAGAGGTTACACTCATGCTTATTTTCTAATAATTTAGATTTGATGACAACTTTAGGAAATACTGATACTTCTAGCTACAAACTATTATACAATACTAACAGTTCAATCTTGAAAGAGAAAAGTTCTATTAGTGAGGTATCAAGGTAAATATGATTATAATATCCTTTAGATAGTTTTTAAGTGCTGTTCTAAATCATCATGTATAGCAATACAACTTCAAGAGACAGCTCGACTTCAAGAGAAACAGTAAGCTTTATTGAGATATCAACATGAGTAAGATATGTAATTATAATTTTTTTTTTTTAGATAACTCTCTAGAAATGTTTTTAATTATTGCAAATAGCAATACTACCTTTTAACTTTTGAAATCTAACAAAACTCTGGCAAAATTTTGAGAATTGTAGTGAACTCAAGGGAATATACATCCGAGTACAAAATGAGAAGAAGCTTTGTAAGTATTTTTTTTTGTTTAATTTCTTTTATGATTAAAGCAGTAGCTAACATCTTAAGTAAATATTAAGGTTGCCCTATTTACTGAAAAGTGATGTCAATTGGGAGAAATATATAAAGCGAACTGACTTCTTTAATATACATGTTTGGGAGTAGATAAATAGAAATGTTTATGTTTATGAATTGCCTTTAGAACCTCATGAGTTTTGTTCTAGAGCAATTGAAAGGTTAATTTGTTTGAAGAACTCAGAAAGAATACTCATTAATTCAGGATCTACGTGTAAGCATTTAATCTGTTTTTGGATTATTAATAAGATTGTTTGATAACACAAAGATGTCTTCTATTATTGAAATAAAGGAACAAAAACTGGTAATATGGGAAAAGAGGCAGATGGATCTTTCATACCAAAGCACAAATCTGATATAAATTCGCATGGATATTTGGGTCCAGATTCTGTATGTAGAGCTTAAATATTTTTATCATTATAATAACTAAGTTTATAATACTAGTGATTATACACTATTAGCATAAACTGTAGCCCAATCTTGTGATAGAAGTCGCCTCTTTGGAAACTGAAGCCTATTTATTTAATTTAGTAAAAAACTATTGGCTCAAACTAGGTAGAGCTCATGATGCAATTGCAGTAAAATTAATACAATGTGATACGGTTATTTCAAGAATAAAAGTAAGTAATAATAAGAAAATATGAATTTTTGATCTTTTCTTACCATCATTTAACGATTTTTATTTTTTTATAGGTATAGCATTTTTGTACAGACAATAGGATATCAGGAGAACTAGTGCCCATTACAGTAAGTTACATTATGAATATAAAGTTGGTTAACAGAAAATAATTTTAATATACTTTATATTTAAAGAAATTTGGATTCAAGACCATTGATGATAACAACCAAATTCTTATTCAGCCTCAACAATTTACTATTAATATTAAGACAGAATGTCTTTTTCATGGAATGCCATCTGATTTTCGTATACCTGCATCAATACCTAACCCTCTTGATTTAGATTTTTATGATGTTTTAAGTGAAATGGAAGAAGTACTTGTTATTTCATAACGTCTTTTTTTTTATTTTCAAACACAATTCTTTGAGTTGTAAGCTAGCTTTTTAATGTATTAGCACCACCAGAAGATATGTTCATTTTCTAGAATTTTTTCTGAGACTTATCAATAAAGCTTGTCCTAGTGGCTAATTTTTTAAAAATCAAGACTTCAGTTAAAGTGAGGGACTGAGTACTTGAATTCGGATGAGTCTGTATTATTGCATACATAGTCAGTTTACTTTTGCATGTGTATTTCGTGAATTTATTTATTGTATTGCTATCAATGTATATCAAAAAATAATATGTATCACGGACTAGTCTCGAACATTTGTATTTATTTTTCGCATGTATTAATAAAAAGTTTTTTTCTTAGCAAAAATGATCTGCGTTACGAAAAGTATACCCGTATTTTACGTATAACGGTTACAATAACCTATGGTAATAAAAATATTGAATTTAATGAATATATTTCAACAACCTCTTGAAGTAAATAGTCAACAAATAGAGGATTCAATACTTTGAGTATTACACGTCAACTTCTAATCAGTATAACGAAACAAAAAGTACAAAAATTAGAAGCTCTATACTACCTTGAAAACTTAAGGAGGTAAGTTCGAATAAATTGGTTTAGAAAAAGTTTAACTGCCAAATATAATGACCGTAAAGCAAAAAGAATTTGGCAAGTAACTCAACGATTTTATAGATTATACTCATAATTTGGAATCGCTCAGATATAATTCCAAATTTGACCTTTAGTAACGAGGATTGGAGTAAAGTTATGAACTTTATCGGTTATTATAGTTTAAAGTTTGAAATATGAATTACTTTATTTAAAATTTTATTAAATACGGCCCCTTCTTAAATCTAACCTAGCTCTCAGTCTAGTTCTTTCTTCTAACTTTCAAAAATAATCGCGTTGTAGGCAACTTTATAATCATAAGAACTTTAATAGTTTCCAGTAACTATAGCTTGGACCTGGATATCCGGATTTATAACGTTTAAATTTAAAAATCCGGATTTGACATCCGCTTTACAAAATTGATATCCGTTATCCGTTTTATATCCGGATCCAAGCACTACCAGTAACAGGCATGTAGCTTTAACAGTACTTTAACATCTGCATAACTACGTAGGAAATTATACTATTGCTAAAAACTTTGAGAACTTTGCTAAAGATGAACCTTTAAGACTATCGCTATGATTTCATTATTCCAAAGGGTTCTTTTGTTAGTAAATTATAGAAAATTTTGTAATTTTTATTTTTACAATAATGCAAAAAAAAAATTAATTCTTTGTAACATATTTACATTTTTTAATTGTCTCCGTTTAGACGAACCATACTTATCGTGTATCATAAAATAAGTACGGTAGATTTTTAACGGATTTTTATATTCTTCTCTGAAGCAAAAACAGGAACCACATGGCTCTTTTATCTTTTTAATATAATAAAAGAAACCTAAAATTTTGTTTTTTGCCGGAGAAGTTTTTTCGAAAGTTGAAATCTATTTTTGAAAATGAATACAGATTATAAATGATAATGGACATAATACAATAGACACGTGTTTTGCGTAACCTGATAATACCTATATAAAGATATAATGAAATCGATATACTGTATCGCAAAAGGTTATATATTGCAAAAGAGATTTATTTAATCTTTTTGGAACTTACTTTTATGAGCATGGATCCGTCTCCACCACCACCAGAATCTGTACAGGAACCTTCTCCACTATTAGACTCTGAAAAGGTAAAAATAAAGATCTGCTTTTCCAAAAATTAATATACATTGCATTTATTAAGCTGCTGATTTCATTTTAGATACGTTTAAAACGTCTTGCAAAACTGCAGCAAGTAACTTCAAATGATTCAGGTGAATCTTCCCAAGCTACTGCGTCATCTTCTAAAACTGTGCCTGCGCGGGCAAACTCTTTACCAAAGTCGCCTATGCAAGTAAAACCTACTTCGTTATTTAAAAAATATTCATTACCAGCCAAAGAACCTGAGAGGGTATGGCCTCGTCATTTGACATATACTTTTAATAAAATAGTTTGTTTTAAAGAATTATATTTCTCTTGTATGGAAAAAATCAATCACAATCCATTGTGCATTTATTACAATTATAGTAAAAGTTTGATCAGTTATTTTCCCAATGTCGATTATACTTTGAATTCTAGAAATTCTAGAAATTTATAATTTTCATGTTTCTTTAAACCTTAAAATCTTTATTTACTGTTTTTATAAAAGGTGCCACCTCAGGCTACTCCTAAAATTATACCTCCAACTAAATCATTTGAAGATTGGCAAAATGATACAATTTCCAAAGTTCTTCAAATTACCCTTGATGTAAGTTGATAGTTACATAGTTTGCCATGCAATCCAAATAACTTATTATATCGTGTATTTTTTAATTGTCAAAAAAGAAATCAACAGCTGAAAAAAGCGGAAATCGATTGATTTATCTTGATTCTGTTGTGAAAACGTTAATGGAAGAAAATCCTGGTACTATACAATACATAATTATCAATAATTTTTATAGCTATTAGTTAAATGCTAGTAATAATTTTATCGTATGTTATAATTGCTAAACTTAATTAATAGGGATGTCTTCTTTCAAATTGTCAAAATCGATTCTTGATAACGCACTTTTTTCTCGACTCTCTATCGACCCTAACCAAATGAGTGATGGCGAAGAACTTCCCCAAATTCCCTTATTCGATTATCTGCTTGATAGTTGGAAAAGGGCTTCTGAAATTAAAAGATCATTACGTGCTACTAAGGTATTAATCATAATAGTTTTCAGAAATTAATTATTTTAAAGATTTCTTAATAATTAGCCAAAATTTATAGACTTTAGAACAATCAATTATTAATGAACGCGTCGGTGTCATAGATACACTCAAAGAGCTTATAATTAATTATATTCAATATGTCCTTCAATACCCTGATGACCTACCACAAGTTAGAAAGTTAATATTTATTTTATTTTTTTCCCATTGATTTTGAAATTATTCTTATATGTTTTATTAAATGATTATTAATTTGATCTAGTTCTACCAAGCTTGGTCCTAATCAATTAGTATCGAGATTATTAGAAGAATTTGATTCACCTCAAGGATTACCTTTAGATTTCATCAAAGAATTAGCAAATAAAGTTGATGATGAAGGATTCGAAAAGGTAAAAAAAAAATGAAGTAAACCGATTAAAAATTGTATTTTGATAATACTATATTAATACATATGTTTTATTTATTTTTCATAGATGTTTTTGCCTGCATTATTGGGGTATTCTGCCCAAATAAGAACTAAAAATATATTAAGCAGGGATTATTTATTACCACTTAACGTAATATATTTTCATAATGTGAAGTTTTAATATTATTATGTTTAATTAAACAATCAATTTTATGTTAGTCATTAGTAACCCTATCAGAAATAAAACCGTTAGCCGATAAGGTAACATTAAAAAGTAACTTTATAAAAAAATATCACCGAACTGCTTAAATTAAATGTATTTCAAAACAGATGACGAAAGCACGTAATTGGAATCCTCCAAATTCGACCGCAAGAATATTTGAAGTCGGTTCACTTTTGGGACCATTTTGTCGATTATCTGCTTTTCCGACAGACGAGGTTTTTTTCCCTTACAAAATTTGATTGGAATCTACTTATTTATTTTCCTGATACTAAAGCGATCTTAAATTGGATTTCAGCCAACGATTGCTGAAAGCTATTTTGCTAATGTCCAAGCAAGGCGACAAGCTGATATCGATTCAGCTATGACTAGTTTAAGAGGTGCTATACGTGGGGTGCAGGTTGATATTAACTTAATATATGGATTCATTTATTTTACTCTTATTTAGCTTTTATTACAAATTATATGACGAATGAATAGCATTCCATTTTCAAAATCTTCAACAATATTGTTCGTTCTTCACCGTCAGCTCGAGAAGCCGTACTTGGTTATTTTGCAGAGGTCATTAGATTAAACGAACGGAGAGCTCAGATGCAGGTTAATAACATTATAACCTTGTTCCTCATTCATTTATATTTTTAATAATAAATTTTTTATTTCTATATACTGAATCTTTAGGTTGACCCAACCCAAGTCGGAACTGATGGGTTTTTAACGAATTTGACGAGTGTATTACTGCATTTTGCTGATCCTATCATGGATTTGCGAAATCCAAAGGTAATTATTCTTTTTTCTTATTTTTCAAATCTAGAACTAATATAACTTATATATTCTTTTTCAAAGATTGATCGTATAGATGTAGATTATTTTCGTAAATCTAATCGAATCGATGTTAGCCGGGAAACAAAAATTAAGGCTAATCAACAAGAAGCAGATGCATATTTTTCATTAGTAGATGAAAGTACATCCGGTACGATTACATTATAACTTAAAACTTATTTATTTATTTATTTAGACTTATTAAATTTAAGAAAATATTGAATTTTTTTTTTGTTTTTTTTTTTTTTTACCGAATTTTAATATCAAAAAAATAGCTCCAAATTTTATATCTGAAATATTTTTCCTCACAATTGCGATGCATCATTATGGTCCCTTACATTGCTATGAAAATTATAATAATTTTCTAAGGGATCTCTCGGAACTTCAAAAACAATATGACCGAATTAGAGCTGATCAGCCTAATTGGGCAGGGGTAATATATATTCGACCTAGAATCTTTTAAAGTATTTGGCTTATTCCATCATACTTATGTTTTTCAATCATCAGACTCCGATGGCTGCGAGAAGTGAAGAACTGTTGGCACATTGTAAAGTTCGTAATAGCTAATGACCTATTCTATAATTAAAATTTTTATTAACTTTAAATAATTATATTATAATAGACACAGATCGAAAAGATGGCTTCACACAAGATAGCATACGATGCACAACTTTTGGATCAAGTTGCTTTAGATCATTCACTAAAATTTTATAATTTAGTGATGAATTGGATGCTAAGAATCGTTGATCCTACTGGCAAACATCCAGAAAAACAAATACAGTACGTTTCTTTTAATTATACTTTGTTTAATTTTCACAATATTTTAAATTTATAATTGTTTTTTGGATAGGCTACCTCTTCCTCCAACACCACCTGATGCGTTTGCTATGTTGCCTGAATACGTATTTGAAGACATAACTGAATTATTTTTATTTGTCGCAAAGTAATTAAGAAATATTATCATTTTCTGTAAAGCTTTGCACAATTACTCTTTCAACTTAATGTTAATTCTTGTTATGTTCAGGTATATTCCAAGAGCGTCTGTTGTCTATCAAGATGTGTTAATAGTTTTCATTATCACTTTTCTCAAATCATCATCTTATATTAAAAAGCCCTATTTAAAGGCTAAGTTAGTAGAAGTACGTTATATTATTATTATTTTCTTATTTAATATATTTTAATGTTATTCTTTAATAGATATATCTCATAAATTTGGTTTATTTTTAGATTTTATTCTACTTTACGATTCGTGGTGAACGTGAAGGCAGTATAGAAAAATTATTAAATTCTCATCCTCTTGCTTTGGATCATTTGTTGTCAGCTTTAATGTCCTTTTATGTTGGTAAGTATCTCATTTCACAAATAATTTCGTAATCTTCTTTAATATTAATAAATACTTTAAATAATTAGAGGTGGAACAAACTGGTACACATACGCAATTTTATGATAAATTTAATATTCGATATAATATTTCACAAATATTCAAGTCGATATGGGGTAATCATGTACATAAAGAACGATTAAAAGAAGAAAGTCGGTGAGTGTCTTATCTAACAGTTTAATAAGAGCAAAATTATTATAAATGAATATTTATTTCTAAAGAGATAAATATAAATTGGAATTTCTACTAAAACATTTATATAATTGTGCATTTTATTATTACATAAACTAATTACAGAATATTGTATATTATAGAAACCTTGATTCCTTTGTTAGATTCGCAAATTTGTTGATGAATGATGTTACATATTTATTGGATGAAAGTTTAAGAAAACTTGCAGAAATTCATAATATACAAAATGAAATGAATAACAAAGAGGAATGGGAAAGTAAACCTCAGGTTTGTTAAAAGATCTTTATTTTCTTTTAAAAAAAAAAAAACTACAATACATCGTGTTAATAATAATTTTATAATTTTTACTTGTTAATAAAAATATATTAGCAATATCGTCAAGAACGCGAAAATACACTCCGATCTGATGAACGATCTGCAACCTCTTACATGTCACTTGGAAACGAAACAGTAAATATGTTGGTATATATGACTGCAGAAGTTGCAGATCCATTCCTTACACCTCAAATGGTTGATCGATTGGCAGCAATGTTGGATTATAATTTAAAGTCTTTAGCTGGTCCAAAATGTACCGAACTTAAAGTTAGAAATCCAGAAACATATAGTTTTCGACCTAAAGAATTACTTTCACAATTAGTCAATATTTATTTGAACTTATGTAAACATAGAGTATTTGTACAAGCAGTTGCAAGAGATCGTCGAAGTTATGACAAAGCATTTTTTTCAAAGGCAGCTAGTGTTTTATCTAAATATGGGTTACATTCACCTAAGAATATCAGTGAACTCGAGAAATTTGTTAATGAAGTAGAAGAAACAATTGTACTGGAAGCTGAAGGTGAAGAAGAGTTAGGTGACATTCCAGAAGAATTCTTGGGTAAGTGACAATTTAACACTTTCCTTTTTTTTTATGTTTCATTAATTAATATTATATATGATATTATATAGATCCAGTTTTGTGCCATTTGATGGAAGATCCAGTTATCTTACCTGGATCAAGAGTAACCGTTGATCGAAGCACCATCACAACACATTTATTAAGTGATACAACAGATCCTTTTAATCGAATGCCATTAACAATCGATCAAGTCATACCGAGTAAGTAAAACTTCAATTTGTAAAAAAAAAAAAATAAAGAAATATATCTCTAATTTCACTATACTGTAATTTTTAGATACTGAATTAAAAGAACGAATAGAAGCATTTCTACAAGCAAGACGGCAAAAATAAAAGCACTTTAATGGAAACTTTGGCTATCACAGCATCAAACTTTAGATAGTTACATTTTTGTATTAATAAATGATTTCAATTTTCTTTTCTATTTATCAGTTACATATTATCATAATTATGATTTTTTTTTTTTTTTTTTTTTTTTTTTTTTTTTTTTTTTTTTTTTTTTTTTTTTTTTTTTTTTTTTTTTTATTTTTT